CTCAAACTGTCATAATTGTTGTTGTAGTTATATGCCATCAAGCCACTTTCCTCTCATAGTGAGCCTGTGTGCAACAGCTCTGAACTCTGCTCTATTTTGACCCAAACTCATTGTTTCTGATACACCTACTCCCATTTTCCCAGTCATTGTGTCAATCCATTTCATCCAAGGTCTTCTTCTCTAGCACTGTCCCTCCACCCTTCCAAGCATGGTGTCCCTCTTCAAAGACTGATCCCTTCTTGCAGTATCCCCAAATTATGTCAGACGAAGCTTCAAAATCTTTGACTTTAAGAAGCAACTTGATTTTACCCTCTTGAGGATGAACCCGTTTCTTCTCCTAGAAGTCTATGGTATATTCAGTATTCTCCAGCCCCACAAAGCAAAGGCATCGACTCATCTTCTGTCATCTATAGTTTTTGTCCAGCTTTCTGATGCATACGGAGTTATTGTGAAGACCATGGACTGGATCAGATGCACCTTAACCTCCAGACTGACACTGTTGTTCTTCAGTACTCTGGAGAGGTTCCTGAAAGCATATTTTCCCAGTGTGATTAATCTTTTTCTTTCCTGGCTGCTGGTACTAAGAGTGTTAATTGTGGAACCAATCAAACTGAAGTTTACAATCTCAGTCATCAATAATTAGGCTTCCAATCAGCCCAATGGTTAGAATATTTGTTATCTTGATGTTGAACTTCAATCCATATTGAAGGCTGAAGTCCTTAACGTTCTGCAGCAAATGTCTCTGGTCCTCTTCCGTTTCGGCAAACAAGGTAGTGTCGCCAGAATAATGCAGGTTGTTGATATGTCTTCCTCCAATACTGATGCCACATTCCTCCCCATAGAGCCAAGACTCCTGAATAAGCTGTTCTGCGTATAGCTTAAAAAGTATGGAGATAGGATGCATGCCTGGCATACACCTTTCCTGAATTTGAACCATTCAGTGTTTCCTTCCTCTGTTCTGATGACTGACTTCTGAACTAAGTATAAGTTTCAAATGAGCACAGTTAAGTGCTCTGGGATTCCTATTCTTCTCAATGTTTGTCATAAATTATTATGATCCACCCAGTCAAATGCTTTTGCATAATCAATAAAGTATAAAAAGACATTCTTCTGGTATTCTTTACTTTCATTCAGGATCCATTTGACATCAGCAATAATATTCTTGGTGCTATTTAGAAGTTTATATCCAATCCTGCTTCCTAGTCTGTCTTAATCCCGAGCTCTACTAAAACCTGCCCATCATGCATGAACCTTGTAGCACTTGACACATTCGTAGAATAGCTTTTAATATCACAGCAACACACAGGTTACCTCAGTACAGCAAACTGACAAACAAGTGCTGTACTAATTAAAACAATGCATCCCCTAGATAAAAGAAAATGATAATTCAGTGTTGTACCTCTAATAAATAATTAGACTTACAACTATCATGTTACTTAATGCAGTTGAAGCCTGCTTAGATGTGGGAGGATGTGCTCTTGAGGTGGGGTACTATAGTATTCTGGCTAAGACTCATGTCTGTCATGCTGGGGTAAAGTCCCACATGTGGATATTAAGATCACATATAATTCTCAGCTGAATCTTTGCTCCTAGTGCTTCACACAAGCCTTGAGGGCCCCAGGCCAGAGGATTCAAGCAACTGTTAATCAAAAAGGGCCACCTTATGAGTCCTAACTGCCTTAAATATGAGTCTTCCGGCCCCCAACTGACTGTTAATCAAAAGGACCTACCTTATGGGTCCCAACTGCTTTATATAAGAGGCTCCTAGCCATCAACTATCTGTTAATCAAAAAGGCCTGCTTTCTGGGTTCCAACTGCATTAAGTTAGAGGCTCCCACCCCCCAACTGACTTATTAAAAAGGCCCACCGTCTAAGTCAACAGCGATAAATAAAAGGCTCCCGGTACCTATCTGTTCATTAAAAGGATCCACCTTCTGTACCCCAACAACTTAAAAAAAGAGGCTCCCAGCCCCTGACCAACTGTTAATCAAAAAGGCCATCATTCTGAGTCTCAACTGCTTTAAATGAGAGATTTCCATCCCCCAAGTGACATGATCAATAGGCCCTGTCTTCTGGGTCCCAGCTGTTTTAAATGAGAGACTGCTGATCCAATCAGTTATTACTCAAAAGAGTCCACCCAATTAGAATACAAAAGTTAGAAACAATGAAGATGTAATAGTAGTCCAAAAGTATGGACTTGGTGAAAGAAATTAGGCTGCAAATTGAATGATCAAATAGTGTATATTCAATGATTTATTCATTGCAAATACTTTAAAAACACACACACACACAACAACACACAATTTGATGTGTAGAAGGAGACATGGGTTAAGGAAATGGGAAAGATCCGATGTGAAAACTAGGCCTGGAATGGTCAGTGGATCAGACCATCAGTTACTCATGTGCAAGTTCAAATTGAGGCTGAAAATATTAAAACAAGGACATAAGAAACAAAATATGATCTTGAGTCTATTTCATCTGAATTCCAAAATCATCTTAAGAGTTAGTTTGAAGCATTGAACACCAGAGATCATAGACCATATAAATTGAAGATCACATCAAGGATATAATCCATGAAGACAGCAAAAGTTCTTTGCAGAAGTGGAGAAAGGATATCAAAAGAGACTCTGAGAATTGCACTAGAGTGTTGAGAAGCCAAAACAAAAGAAAAACATGCTCAAGTAAAAGAGCTGAACAAAATATTTCAAAGGACACTTGAAAAGACAAAACAAAGTATTATAATAGAGTGTGCAGAGAACTAAAATTGTACAATAAAAGAGAAGATCTTGGTCTACATTTCTCAAGCTGAGAACTGAAAAATTTAAACCTCGTGTTGCAATATTGTAAATGCTATGAACAATATGTTGAATGATTTAGGAAGTATAAAAAGAAGATGGAAGGAATACATAGAGTCCACTGTACCAAAAAAAAAATTACACTGAAAATTTTCAGGAAATGCCATATCAGCAGGAGTCAATTGTAATGAACGAAGAATTGAAGCTGCACTGAAGGCACTGGCAAATAAGGCAACAGGAATCCATGCAATACCAATTGACATATTTCAGCTAACAGATACAGCCCTGGATACACCGATCAGTCTATGCCAGGAAGGTTGGAAGCTAGCTAACTGGACAGCTGCTTGGAAGAGATCCATATTTGATCCCCTTCCCAAGAAAAGTAATGCAACAGAATGTGAAAAACTGTTGAACTGTATCATTCATACCACATTCATGCAAAATACTGCTGAAGATCATTGGTGATGTGTGTTTGATCCTGGCTGAAAGTAAAAAATACCAGAAGAACGTCTATTTGTGCTTTATTGACTATGCAAAGGCATTTGACTATGTGGATCATAACAAGTTATGATTAACCATAAGAAGAATGAGAATCCCAGAGAACTTAATTGTGCTCATGCAAAATCTATACAATTTCAGGAGCCTGTTGTGAGAACAAAACTAGGGAACACTGCATGGTTTAATATTAAGAAAGATGTGCATCAGGACTGTATTCTCTCTCCATACCTATTTAATCTGTATGTTGAGCAAATTATTCAAGAAGCTAAACTCCATGAAGAAGAATGTGGCATCACGATCTGAAGAATACTCATCACACATACCACATAAACCTGAGTTATGCATATGGCACAACCTTGCTTGCTGATAATGAAGAAGACTAGAAGCACTTGATACAGAAGAGCTAAGAATACAGCTGTCAATATGGGTTATATCTCAACATCAAGAAAACAAAAATTTTCAACACTGAACCAACAGGCAACATCATGATAAATGAAGAAAAGACTAAAATGGTTAACAACTTCATCAATACCCTTGGTACCAGCAGTCAGGAGACTTATTGCACTGGGAAAGTCTGCAATTAGGGACTTCTCCCAATGCAATGAGAAGTAGTAAGTTTGAGAACATTCTGATCACTCATAATGCATCTAAAAGCTGGACAATGAGTAAGGATAACAGAAGAATGATGCCTTTGAGCTGTGGTGCTGAGAAGGGCACTGAATGGACTGCCAAAAGATCAAACAAATATGTCCTAGAGAAAGTGCAGCCAAAGTATTCTTTGTAGGCCAAGATGATAGAGCTCCATTTTATGTACTTCAAGTATTTTAGGAAGAGAAGTGAGTCTGTGCATGATACTCAGAAAGACAGAGGGTTGGCGAAGGAGATAAAGATCCTCAGCTGGGTGGATTGATGCAGTGACTGCTTCAGTGGGTTCTAGTGTGTCAGGAAGTGTGAGGATGGCACAGAATAAATAGGATCGAGTTCGGAGGATGGCACAGGGTAGAATAGAGTTCTGATCTGTTGTTCATAGGTTCCCTCCCTGTGGGCCGTACTCAGCAACACCAACAATAACATACCAAAATACTTTATTCTTCCCATTTTTATCTACTTGAGAGCACAGACTGTACCTTATTTAGCATTGTCTCCCACCACGTTTCTTTTTTTATTAGTATTATTATTATTTTATTTTTCTTAATTTTTTTAATTAATTTTAATAGACATTTACAGAGGTTTTGGATTTCCATTCATTCATTGCCACACTTTTCTCCCTGCCCACCCCTCCCCACCAGTTCACTCCTCTAGCAGGGAGTTGCACTGTTAACCCATAGGGGGCATCTCCCTGCTACTTTGAATCTACTAGCTACTCTGTAGGAGAAAGATCTTGTCTCCTCTGATGGTATTTACAACCTTCTAAAAATCCACTGGAGCATTGGCTATAAGCTGATTCTGTTTCAATGCCTTTGTGAGAGTTTGCATTGAGAATAGGAACTGTTCTGTTTAATTTGGAAATGTATTGAACTTGAATCAGGTGTGAATTTGAAGGATTATGTCTGCTTTGTTAAAATGAAGAGTTAATTTTTTTTTGTCTTCACTCTCTTAAGGATTTTAATTTCTTTAAAATATCTAGCAATCTTTTGGATGTTCTTACCAAAACAACCATTTGACTCAAATGTTTAAAAATACTGTTTTTCTTTTGCTTTATTTTAGAACTGAATAAGGCCACAAAAACATTCTTTACTAAAGAATATTTGAAAATAAAACAAAGTTTTCAGAAATCCAGCTCTGCAAAATGGCCACTACCAAGCTGTAGAAAAGCATTTCATCTTTTTGGAGGTAAGAAATAAATGTATTAAGAAAACAAAATAATAAGAACAGTTTAGTGGTAAGTTTGTCCAATGTCTCTTCTTTTTTATTTTATTTTACTGATTTTAATTAAAGTTTACAGAAAATTTGCATTTCCATTCATTCATTGTTGCATTTTTCTCCCTGCCCATCCCTCCTACCCAGTTCACTCTTCTCTTTGAAAAGTAAAATTCCTTCATTGGTACACAATCCCTCCCCCACCCCCCCAAATACACTCCACTATACAACCTTCCTTCTGGACTCTTGTCATAACCATAATACCTAAGCATTTTAAACCCAAGATTTTAAACTGTTCTCTCCCTCATCTGTTTAAATGCAGTATACATAATTTGTCCAATTTTTCTCAGTCTCACCCCAACCCTAATATCAGTCCCATTCTACAACAGTGGCACTGTGCAGTATTTGTCATTTTGTGACTAAGATATTTGACTCAGCATAAAGTCCTCCTGAATTATTATTTTGAATAATATTGCATGAGTTATTATTATTATGAATTATTATTTTGAATAATATTGCATGAGTTCCTTGTTTCTCAATGCAGCATAGTATTCCATTGTGTGAATATACCACAGCTTCTCTATCCGTTCATTTGTTGATGGGCACTTGGGTTGTTTCCAACTCCTTGCTGTTGTGAACAAAGCCACAG